CCCCCCCCCCCAGGCCATTAATGCGGAGATGGAAGAAGCTATGCATGAAAAGGATGAATTAAAGCTCAGGGTCCACAGTTACATATCGGAGGTCGCGAGAATAGAGAGCTTGTTGGCTGCAAAGGTGAGTCAGTTGCTACCTGTGGATCTCTTTTCATGTTTCTGAAAGTTCAAAACGTTATATACTGCTCAGAAAGGGGTGAAAATGTTAGAAATAATGTGTTTGATCGATCATGACTTGATGTGGTGGCCCTAGGAGGCGCACTCCTAAATAAGGTTCCAGTACCAGGCCTGCTGGGGGGGGTCCGATTGTGAAGCCCACGACGGTGAAACGTAAAGCAGGAACGGCTACTGCTGCCGGATCTCTCGCAGTTGTGGAATCAGCTAGGCGCTCCTGGGATCAGTCAGAGCTGGTCAGGGCAGCCCCGATGACAGAGCATGGCACCACACACAGTGGGCAGTAGCTGGGAGGCTGAGGGTACCAGGAGATTGTTTAAGCAGGCTGTGGAGAAGGTGCCAGGAGATGGGGCTGTACACCAGTCAGCGCCACAGGTTAGGGGGCTTCCTGTAGGTTCGATTCCTCTTGTGTGTGCCTTTCTGTATGTCAGCACGGGTACCCGAACTCCAGCTTTAACTGAGTGATCAGGGGTGTGTCCAGGCATCCCCGGGTGTCTTAATTAGAGCCGGTTATTGTTCTGGCTGAAAGGCCTGCTCCCTCAGTTCTGCCCAGCAGTTAATGTAACGCGCTTGATCGAACTCCCGTGAAAGGAGCAGGAGAACCGGGACATGCTGGAGAGGTTCCGCCTCGCCCACAGCCAGGTGGAGGACTGGGAGCTGAAGCTGCAGCAGGCGGAAGGGCACAGCAGCTCGATCCGGCTGGAGCTGCTCTCCGCCGACACCGAGAGGAGACACCTGCGGGAGCGCGTTGGCAACCTGGAGCGAGAGATTCAGGAGGTGCGGAGCGGCTGTGGCACAGCTAACAGCCCTTAAACCTTCTCTTACAAACGGGTTTCTTACCGAGTTTTTAGTTTTTCCCCTGGATCAGGAAAAGGCACTGTGTACCTCAGGGTCTCCTCCGTGCGACAAAGGGGCAAAAATGCGAACAAATATTTTCCTTTCCGGAGAGAAGCATGAATGTTTTTATGTCGGTCTCCACTAACTTCAAATAGGAAATTCTGATTTATATATATGTTTATAAAAATACCACATTTAAACAAAGAAAAAAAATCTTAAAAGGTGGTATAGTAGCTATCCCAATGGTGTATAATATAGGGGATTGTATTTATACTGTAGAGAGCTGCTTTGTTTTAAAACAAAGTTATTTTAACATCCTGTGACTCTGTGCAGTCTAACTAGGAAACAATGCTCCAGTTGATGTCCTTTAGTGGGCACATGCGAACAGTAAAATAACTCCAGTGTGTCCCAGTGTCACAGTTAGTCATCTCCACGTTCTTGTATTCATTGATGGTGGTTTTGTGTAGCACATGAGTGCGCAGCAGGCTTATGAAGCCCAGATCACCACTCTGGCCAAAACCATGTCCAGGCTGGAGGACGAGGTGAGGGCTGCGCACGAAGAGAGGTCCTCGGCACTCGCAGATCTCGCCTCTGTCCGCGAGCTGTGTGTCAAGCTGGACTCCAGCAAGGAGATGATGTCTCGGCAGCTCACTTCTAAAAGCATGGAGTACGAGAGGGTAGGTCTCTTCCTGGAGAATTGGTCTTGCTCTCCAAGAGGTTGTCGTGAAAGTCACCGGGTGGGTTGCTGTGCTGCAGGCCGTGGGAGAGCTGGAAGACGTGAAGTCCGAGGCAGAGCTTTTGAAGAAGCAGCTGTCCAGCGAGAGATTAACCATTAAGAATCTGGAAACACTCCTGTCCACCAACCGGGAGAAGGAGTTCCAGATCCACCTCGGTTCCCACGAGAAGGAATCGGAGCTGAAGATCCTCAGAGACAGGCTCACCTTAGCCGACAGTAAAGCGTGAGATGTTTGATATATTGCCGTGTCTGATTACCTCTTTTACACAGGCTTCTGTACTATAGGAAAGTCAGTGTGGCAGAGTGTTTATTGCTTGTTTGACTGCTGGTATTTTTAGACCTTTCGCTGCTGTCCTCAAGAATTTTGTTTTAATTTTATGAATAGGGTTGGTTGTCACGTAAAGTGACACCCATATTTTGAAGTGAGTCGCAAAGCACGTTGCATTATGAAGCTCATATTGAAATTCTAAAGACTGACCGGGCTTGAAATTGCCTTCACAGAGCAAGCCAGACAAGAGAGGTGGCCCAGCTGAGAAGCAAGGTCACCCAGCTGCAAACCGAACTTGATGTTCTCAAGCGCCAGCTGACCACCGAACGGTTCGAGAGGTACAGACAAGCGACGGGTTAAGACACAGCTTCCGGTTCGTGTTTGGAGCCTTTTGGCCCAACTAGCTCATGGGGATATTGATATTGGTTAAACTATAGAATACGTCAGTTACTTACTTTTTTTCTCTCTCCCTTCCCAGCTTTGCTCAAAACTATATTGTGAAAACCCAAAACTAACTGAGTTCTCCTACAGGACACAGATGGCTAATAACTGTTCTGTAGGAAACGCACAGCAAGCATTCATCTTAGAAAATGGTTATAAGGGCTTGTGATAAAGTAAAGATTGACATCCGATTGACAATAGTCGCTCTGATGCAAGACTGCTGCAATCTCAAAGTGACCCTGTTCTCACTATAAGAAAGGGAGAGTCTAGTCACTGCATTCCACGTGCCTGAGCTCTGCGGACAGCAGTGTGCTCGGCTCGACCTGACCTTGGGAAACCCATGATTCTCAGCTACAGGCAGCTGTTCAGCGGGATCTGTACCTCATGGTCTATAACTTAAAGCATAGGCACCCAGTGTTGCTGCTGCGCTGTGCATGTCCTTCACACTGCTGTGGCTCGCATGAGGTGTCCATCTGTGTGTGTTTGTATATATGAGCTGTGCGTGAGTCGGCCCTTCACTGCTGTTTTGCTGTTTGCTCCGCACAGGGAGAGAGCGGTGCAGGAGATGCGCCGACAAGGGATTTCGTTCTCCTCCCTGAGGAGCTCCTCTCCTTTGAGCTCCTCCCCCAGTCCGCGTTCCCGCTCTCCGGAGCGCTCAGCGCTCAGATCGCCAGAGCACGCAGCCGAGAGGTCCCTAGAAAAGTAAGCTTCCTTACCATCCCTGTCATTTAGGCCTCTGCTTTTTACAGACGTTATCGAGTCTTATGTTAAGAAATGGGTTCCGGACTACAAGAGGGAGCTCCTTTGTGGGTACTCCTCTGGACACATTTCCTGTGTTTTGTTAAACAAGCCTGAGTTATGAAAACGTTTGACTTCATTCTTCAGCCCTGCAGAATTGTTTATGTTGCTTATCCTTCCTGCCACTGCCGTTTCTCTCAGTGTTTTGGGAACCTGCAGTTTACCCCTGTAAGGGGCGATAATCTGTTGCCATCAGCACCTGTGTATTGGGTAGCCCAGTATTTTCTTAAAACAAACACGCACACGCCACTAACGTAGAGCTCTTCCTTTTCAGAAGTGTGAGCTTTAAAGAATGAAGAATACGAAGGCCCAGGGGTCAGCTCTCAAATCATGCTTGTCCACTTTCTGCCACTGTTCCTGATCAGCTCCTGCTACTTACAGTCCTAGTCATTATAAAAACATTCATGTCTCAAACACTAATGATTTCAGTCCCATAAATGTTTGTTAAAACCCTTTTAAATGCATGTAGGATTTATATTGTGTGTCTTTTATATGTTTGAAATAAGGTGAGTGAGACATTTTTTATAATTAATTTCAACACACTCTGAAATTGGTTAAACAGAATGAAATCAGTGCAGCTGTAATGGTGCTGTCAGAAAGTTATTACATGAGATGTTCGCCAAAGGTGACCTTGAGAGTCTCGCTGAGAGTGCAGATTTCATGTCTGTTGCTTTAATAATCCGGTGGCTGAAAATCTAAGCCTGTTGTCTAAACAGCATGATCTTGGAAAAGTCCGCTAGTGGCATTTAGCAATATGTTATAAAACAAATGCTACACGAGACGTAACTTTTAAAGACGCTTGCCCTACCCACTTCTTTCTCAGAACGTGCTTTTCTCTGTGGGAACTTCAACAGGGTACTGCCTGGTGATGCAAGCATGCCATATTTGCGGTCAATATTTCCTGTAAAAGTTGAATTGTTACTATCTAATCTTGTACATGACTTTGTGATGTAAATCTGATTATTTATACAAATAAATTAACTTTTCATAATTTTGCTTTGGTATGAAAATGTAAAATAAAATCATAGGTCATCCTTTTACTCCTAACTTTCCAATAATCTAGACACAAGTTTGTCACGGTTTTGTCATCTTCAGTGCCTTTTACAGCTGCATATCAAAAGGTTTGACATTGGTAAATTTTCTGGCCCTGTGAAAGATTCTGAGGCCCAGAGAGGAGCTGGAGGAGTGCCGAGTGGTTCTGTCTAGTGAAGTGGCAGCAGCCGGTGTCTCAGCTGGTGTACGAATGGAACCATGAAGGGGCGTGTCTTTCATTAGGGGAGTCGGACACCCTGGGAGGGAGCTGAACGAGGACGTCAAGCTGGCTTCTGGACATGAAAAGCCTCAGCAAATCACTCAGCTTCCTCGTGGCTCCTTGCATTATTACAGTCAAGCAGATTGGCACCTGAGAAAGTTTGATTCTATGTAGGGGAACACCTGAAGGTGACACATTCACATATTTTAGGCTAAACGCGCTGGAATGAGTTGGTTTGAGCAGGGCTGTCACCAGCATAGGAGCCCAGTCCTCTTGAGCAGTGAATCAAGGTTTTGTTAGCCATCCTGAGGCATGTCTGAGATTGCGGCACAGGCATGCAGAACGATGTGTTGCTTTGTGGACAACAGCCCAAGCAAGCAGAAGTAGTGTCTTCTGGGTTTTGTTCCCATTCACATTCTAAGTTATATCGCTGATGTAGTTCATTTGCTGCACCGTTGTTTTTACTTCCAACCAGACTAATGAGGTGACTTACAGCTAAGTGCATCTTTTAATCACCTTAATGTCCACTGTAATCAACTGTGAAAAATCCTATATACAGTATGTCTAAGAAGATAACCGGCTAATTCTTCTGACTATTCAGGTAGGAACAAAAACCAGAAGCTCAAAGCCCCTCTGTGAGCTTTGAGACCCCTGATCCTGGTTTATACAGAACCTCACTACATGATCAATGGAGCTCCATTGATCAAAGTTCACTTGTTTTGTGAAACAGGTAGGGATGGGTATGCTCAGGAGACCTCCCTTCACAATGCTTTTTTCTCCATCAACTTTACGAGTGATTTCCAGTTGCATGTCACTGGTTCACTGCATATGGCTATGGATTGATTTTGGTGCTTTAAATGTCACCACAGTGCATTCCTACTGACTGCAAATGTGTCAAATGAATAAAATGTAGCTGGAAGATGTTTCAGGTTTTTTCAGTGTAGCTAACCATTATAAAGTATACTATTCTATAAATGCAGTCTTCCTAAAGCACTCATGTTACTTATCTGACGATTTCAATTTAAGTTACATACAATGTTTTACATGACCTGATTTGCAATTCAGGTCGGAGTCATAAACAAGCTACAGGGTTTGCCATTGGTTTGTATTCGAGATTTTCTTCTTGTGGTCTTACCTTCTGCTGGCAGTAATGGAATCATCTCCATTTCCATCTGCATTGTTGTAGCTTGAAATCAAGTTTCTAGTTTTTTTTAAATAGCACCTGCTGTACAGGGAGAGGCTGATAACATGTTCCATTTAAGACAGTAAGTGGAGAAATTAGGTGTTTGAATTGTGAAACCCTGGAGACAGTAGCCTAAGTAGAACAAGTATTCCATATGTCTGGTCAGATCTGAAGTAGAAACTGGTTAAGGCTCCCACTGCACAGCAGTGCAAAATTCTATGATCTCCTAGCAAGTATCTAGTTTCCGGGCTAAAATAACAGAAAATGGTGGCATTTAATCTGTGTGCCTGTCTCTGCACGAATCTAGTTTTTCATAGGTAACACCGATTTTGTTAAGTTTCACAAAAATAGACACAAACTAAAAACGATCTTATCCATTGCGTTTTGTCTGAAAATTACGTATACAGCAAACATAAGGCAATAACTTCAGAAGTAACAAATACTGTCAAATCAATTGTTGTCAAAATGTTAAATGCTTTTGAGCATTCAACGGGAACAGGCATGTTACTGGAAAACTCACAGCAGCCTCTCCACCTAGGACTGGGACACTACACAGCTGTCTTAAACTAGAAACTGATTTTAAATAGCACAGCTAATGCTTTAATGATTATTCATTTACTGGGGCTTGGTACTAGTGCCAGCCTTTATTTTCCTTTCCGATGTCTAAACTGAGGCAATACTTAAAAGCTTTTTGAAGAGAAAAATGTTTCTGGTTCCCATCGGACCGTTCTGCATCACTGTTGTGGTACAGTTGTCTCCTGCTGGATCTCAGACCCATAATTAGTGCTCCTCGCATCCTCTCCAGCGGTGGTGTATGAAGAGGGCTGTAATTAAGATTATATTGGGCGTAAAAGTTATATTGGGATGCAGACAGGCAAAAGAAGAGTATAAGTTCTGTGTTCACTCAGGTGAAATAAAATGGGTTGCACCTGTTGGAAAGGGGATTCAGGCACTAGTGACATGATCGCTTCAGATTTTGTGAATTGCAAAAACACAAATTAATTTAAGAGATGTTAAGAAAAGGCACCCAGATGGAGCACTTTATTTCCATTATAATCTTTATAAATTGATAGGTCGCTAAAACAACTTATCATTCAACCTTCCGACCTTCAACAGTGATTGTAATATGGCACTTGGTCTTTTTTTGTTGTTTTTCCCTGTTTTATGTACAAACGCACCTCAATGCTGTAAAAAAAAAACACAATGTAACATCTTAACCATTTATATAAAAGATTGCTAGCCACCAGGGTTAGGAAAAATAAACGTATCACAGGTTTCCTTCAGAAAATGTCGCCTTAATGTCTGCAAAACTCATTGGTTGTATTGGGAAGAGGATAGGCGAAGAGGGAGAAATCCAGTATGTACTTCGGGAGCAGCTCCCTTAGCAGTTTCTGTGGCACGCCGCACAGGTAGTAGTGCACCGTCTGTGCCGTCACCGGTTTGTACCAGGTTTGCCTTTCGGGGAACTTGACGTGGGGGGCCGCGCCCACGCGGTGCAGCACGTGGCTGGCGTCCGCCTCCAGCCTCTCGTAGGCGCCGATGAAGTTGTAGTTCACCGCGCACGGCTGACACAGGTTGTAAATCGGCATCCAGTGCTCGTTCATGCGCTCCACGTCCTCGTCCAACAGGTAGCGCACGAACTCGGTGAACGTGACGTCGTCCCCCGCCGTGTTCCCCGGGTCCTTCCTGTACCTCCTGGCGATCTCCACGCCGTACTTCTTCTGGTAGGCCTCGATCTCCCCGAACTTGTTCCTGTAGGCCGACAGCAGCCGCTCCATGGGGTCCCTCACGAACAGGAACTTGAAGTAGGTCTGCAGCCGGTGCCTGATCTCCTCCGGCTTCAGGTCTCCCAGGAACACCAGGCCACTCCTGTGGTCCATCTTGATTTTCACTTCCACGTTCTCCAGGGTGCCGCCCAGGACCTTCATGACCCGCTTCCAGTTGGAACAAGCGACTTTGGGCACGTAGCAGTACAGGAACTTGTGCTCGTCGTTCACCAAAATGTGCTGAAGGACGGTCTTCCTCTGGAGGGGACTCAAGTCCCAGACGCTGTGAGGCATATTCTTCTGGCTGCAGACTGTCTTGATGGTACGGTTACATATTTCTTGAATTATCTAGAAAGAAGCAGACGACGGTGGTAAGAGTTCTACATACTAACGGATATTTATACCACTTCAGGTGTTTACTCAGGCCCTGCTTCAAGCCAATATTTCATCCCGTTAACTAGCTTGACCACTTTCACCAATGAAATATAACTCGTTTCCCGGGGTGCATGTTGTAAAGACCTAGGTGCACACGACACGTTCCTCTTTCAGAAGGAAGGTCTCCTGGGTGAATGGTAACCCGGTGTGAATCTGCAGTCTCCCCTGCGCTGTGGACTGTGAGCTGTGGCCATCTGCAAACACCTTACTGAGCTTCACAATGCGTCTCATGAGACTGGCCTCTGCCAGGTTTGATTCATAGAACACTCACAACTGAACTCCAGAAATAAAACAAAAATGTATGTCGTCAAAATCCAGACATTGAACTGAGACCTAAGTAGTCAGTGGCCTGGAGACATCTCTAAGGTTTAGCAGGAACAGACAGAACTGAAGAACATTTTTGAACACCTAGCCTTCAATGTCACGAGGCTGCTATGCAGCGCAAGAAAAAAGACAGGTATAGTTGAGCGATTTGATCCACTTTAAGTTTTTGGCTCTTAAATAGTAACAACTAAACTCATATATCCATGCAAATTTGCTAGAAATATGTTTGGAAGATGCTGGTGCAGCCCTTGCTCTAACCTTCACCAGGCTGCAGAAGGAGGTGTATTATTAACGCTGTCGCTATTATTATTATTATTAACGCTATTATTAAAGTGTAAATGACAGACAGGTGTTATGAGGAATTTCCCCAGGTGTGTGGCAGAGTACAGGAGCTGGTTAGCCCCAGTCCTGAGCAGAGGAGAGGAGGCAAGGGGTCTTGATCCAAGTACTCAAAACCGTGAAACATTCTGATGAACACAGGGGAGTGCCTTCCAGTCCACTGACTGAACGAGTCCACTCAGGGAGGGACACCAGTGGAAACTGCAGGGGTTGTGCATTCAGGGCAGAAAACAGGAGGCAGGTGCTGCTTTTCACACAGGGTGGTGAGTGTTTGGAAAGAGATCACCTGCCCTGTTGTATGATACATATTGCCAAGGGTTCTGCGAGAAAGGCTAAACCCGTGAGATATGTCGGATGGACATTCTCTTGTGCAAAATCTCTCTTTTTCTAATTCTCTAATTTGTAAAATGTACCGTTGTATCTTGACGAAGTATTTGCAGGTACATTTGCTTTTGTCGGTCCTCATAAGATACAGAGACGGTGCCTTACAGCGGAAGCCTTACAGTTTTAAGCGGCACAAGACGCCTGGAAACTTGTGCGCGATCGCGCATGCGGCCGGCGGCAGCACCTGGGTGACCACTGGGAGCCCGGTGCGCCAGTTCACGGAGTTACCCTTTCCGAAACTGCAGCAACAGCAAGCCCCCACACTCTCTTCGCGACCAAGGTTTCTGATTTTAAAGCCACAGCGGCTACTTTCACGCATCCACATTTCACAAGATAAACTCCTGCTGCCACTATATGATCAGCCTGCGGGAGCGGTAGAAAAGTGTCTTTCGCCAAACCTGCGTTACCTGAGAATCCGCGTCTGCGGCGGAGTCTTGCGTTCGGGTGTTCCTCGCGTAATCCGCCCTGCCGCCGGGACCCCGGGGCGACGGGGTGTCCATATTATTCAACATCCCCTTTTCTATCATGAGCAGCAGGCCGCCGGACGCCACGATCACCGCAAACGTCAGCACGGACGGCAGCACCGCCGAGCTGCGTCTCAGCGAGACGGAGCTGACTGGCGGTCTCCACTTCAGCGCTGCCCCGCTGCCCCGGTGCGACGCCGGGTCCTGCTTGCGAGCCGACATGACGGACCCTCGCCGTCGCCCTGCCCGCCGCTCGTCTGCGCGTCGGCTTCCAGCTCCTGAAATAACAGCGGGGGGCGGATTAGCAGGCGCCCATCTCTGCAAAGTTCAGCTCCTGCTTTCAGGCTCCTTCTCGTGTCGAGGGCTGCTGCTGCTGCGTGTCCAGAGGCGCAGAGGGGGCTGCTGGGAATTGCAGTGAGAAAGTTTTGTTGTTGCAAAAAGAAACGAGGACGCGCTGGAAGAGCTCTGAGCAAAGGAAGTAACAGAGTCAGCTGTCTTAGAGTACATACACAACTAACCCGCGGAAATGAGATACTGTTGTGCTGCACTTCCCCTGGGTCCATTAAAGCTCTTTTTACGAGAATAACTCTGTTGTGAAATTTTGTTTATAAGTAGACCGTTATGCAGTGGTCACCGCATTAAAAAGAATTAGAGAGAGCTGCCCTTTTCAAAGGCTGTAACTCATTTCGTCGGGAATAATGGGAATAATACTCTTTGATAGGCATGAAAGCAGACAGAAAAGAGGGAAATGCGAATTGGCAGCACACTGATTAAAGCAGAACCTGCTTCACCGTTCGGCTGGAGTAGAAACTGTTCGCTGAGATTTCCCTATTGCACCAGCCACGTTGTGTCATTGACACGGCACTGTGTAATATGGCTTTCTCTGGAAGATTGCGGATTGATCCATTTTAGGAACAACGCGGATTTGCGTGTTTTTTTGGGAGTCTCTCTTTGATCTGTTTTACCGTCATCATTACCGGTTGTTTTGCACATTGTCTGTTTAAACTAGATGGTTTGCTGTCACAGGGGTCCAGCAACACTGGATTTGAACCGAGTCTCTCACGGTGGACTGGAGTCTCTGGAGAGGCACTAACAATTTGACCACAGCGGGTCTGAACAAAGGAAATAAACGGGTCTTATTATATGGTCTTGAAAAATGGGTGATAAACAAGCCGATGACATTTGAATGTGTGTGAACTTTCGGCATTATTCTGACCACCAGGGAACAGTGTCTACTAACTTCAGAGAAACCGAAAGGCCGGTGAATACTGTTCATAGCGCTGCAAATCTTAAATCTTTAGAATTCAGATTGTTTTGTTTTTTTCGGTTTTAGTGGAAAATACTAAATGTTATTTAAATATATGTTGAAAAGACTCCGCGTTCGCTAACCGGTGTACAAAAGAAACGAAAGTCCCGTCTGATGGAGCATTTTAAACATACTGTACATACTGTGATGAAAACTACCTTCTGGGATTCTCAAGACGGTTTTCAGGCTGGTAGTGCCCACGTAGCTCTAAAATAACCGGCAGTTAAAAATAGTTCAAGCTACAAAGCTAAGGAAATAGACTACGGATTCTTTAGGACCGATCTATTGGTGCTAAACATGGAAACTTGTACCATATACTGCACATTCAGCCAATTAATCAACGATTTATAGCATATAGAGGCATTCAAACAATGAATCAGTTAATGTCCAGATGTCTAATTTGCAGTGGGAAATGTCACTTTTACTTTATTTAAAATTCAAAAAACAGGCGGACAAAAACTCCCTGCCCGCGGTGTCGTCTTGAATGCGGTGGCCCAGCACGACAGATCTGTGGGGCCCGTGCAGTTGAAGACGTTGTTGTTGCAGGGTTTAGTTACCCCCGTGTCGTGAAGCAGGGGTCAGGGGGACGGGGAGAGGGGGGCAGTGATTAGGGGTTGTTCTCCCAAGATGAGTAGCCCAGCATCACAAAAATGTCACCGCCCACCCCGCGCCCCCCCTCCCCGCCGCCACCGCACAGCATCTCATCGGACTCGGCGCCTGTGAAGAGGTGACCGGCTCTGCGAGTCCCGGCCACACCCTCCCCTCTCCTCTCCCCTCCCCTCTCCCGCAGGGCTGGTCCTCCTTCAGCCGCTCCTGCCCGACATCCCGGGGAGCCGGCGAGCGCAGCATCAGCACCGGACGCAGCAGCAGCATCAGCGAGGCGAGGGAGGCTGAGCCGAGCCCCGCTGGGGTGGGAAGACGGGCGGACCGGGATCGGAAACAAACAAAGAGGAAAAAAAAATAAACAGCCGTACAGATACAGACCGCACACAGAAACAAAGCGCCGGGAGCTGGAGGCACAAAGACCACAAGCCCAGCCCGTGGATGAGGTAGGACCCCTTTATTCGTCGAAGCAGCCCTGGGCTCCTCCGGGGCTCCCCAGGGTGTCGCCTGCGCGTCTTTTCTTTTCCGTGGATGAAGGAAAAACCTCGGAGGTTTTTGTACGAGGCGCATTTGTATTTGGCAATCAACAATCAGCAATCAACTCCTTGTGTAGCACGACGTTTTTTTCGCAGGGAAAAGCTACCTATTAAGTCGAATGTCTGGGGTTTTTTTTTCAGCGTAGGTGAGGAAAGATTTGTTTCAAAAGCGGTCTTTTTCAGGACGATGTGAAGCAACCTCCTTTTATCCCCCACCCCTGTCGTGGGCTATTGGCTCCCTGCTCCAAAGCTGAATTTTAACGGCTTTACATCGCCCTGTACGTCGTTGACGCTATTTGCCTGTGAATTAGTTTCCTTACGTTTTCCTCCAGCAAATACAAGCATTTGAGGTCTGAGGAATCTGCCCTGCGGATCCTATAGATGAATGAAAATGTATGTTTCGGAGCACCGCGTTGATAAATAATTCAGTTGTAATTAAAAGCGTAATAGGGTTCTTTTCCGCCGGGATTCGTGAAGGTTCACACTCCCACCGGTGATCTCCATCATTCTCTTGTCTGAGTCTCTGTTCCAGTTCGTGTGTCAGAGAAGCGGCGGTCTACTTTACTAACACGATAGGACATCGTTCACTGGTCTCTTCTGGCTCACACAGACAACACACGCATTCAAGAGAAACAGAAAATGCTTCAACCAGTTTCGCTGTTTCACTGGACACCACATGCGTCATTTATCGCTTAGGCCAGAAATATTTCGTCGCTTTGATTTGATGGCTTGCTTAAGTACCAATTTTGTTTAGATGTTAAACGCTCCTTGCGCTACGCCTTCTGAACTATGGGACTTAGGGTAAAAAAAAAAAGAGCGGAAAATGGATTTTGCCTCCTTTTTTTAAGGTTTATCGCGCAGTTTAAACAAAACCCCCGGAATAGTGCGATAAGTTTGAGACATTTGACAGTAGCGCTGTGAATCGATGGTCTTGAGGTGGCGGGGGGCTGGGCAGGCCACAGCTATTGACAATAAATGGCGTGTTAACTGCTCCCACGTCGGAGTTACAATTCATTCAGCTGTCAGGATATCGGGACAGGCAACGCCGGGAGAGGAAATAATGTGGGATTGGAGTGGTTTAACTCTAGGTTAGCCACAAAATGGCCTGATGGTGTCCTCTAGGGAGCAGGCCAAATGTTAATTAACAAATGAATATATGCCGTCGGTGTTCAAGCCTCTGTGGCCTTGGCGCTCAACACCGCTGCTGCCTGTCCTCGATTATGGAGATGTGTAGGTTATGCCAGTGAAGTGGTGTGGAGATGGGATATGATTATTGGCAGTCCTGCACCCAGGGGCCTGCGGATCGTGTTGCACACACCGTCAGGCTCCTCGGCCAGGGGTCAGCTGTGGCTTTGGACTGCCCCGGGGTCGCTGCCCCGCTGGGCGGTGTGGGGGAAGGCGCCCGTGCTGAGCTGTCCAGTACGCCGTCCAGTAACAACCCCCCCGCACTGCAGCAGGGGCAGGGTGGGCCGGAGCCGGTCCCGGGACCGATAACAAAGGCGATATCCGCAATGGGAAAATACCGAACCACATTTTTCTGTCCTAGCCGGGACAAAACATTTCACCCCCACAGCGATACCCAGGAGCTAAACAGTGATCTTCAAGGCATTGCCACGTCGGCAGAGATCATCACAGAGGCTTCCTTTCACCGCGCAGGTCGGTTGCAAATGGCTTCGTCTGTCCAGGGTAATATTTTTATCACTTCTTTTCAGTTGTTTGCCAGACCACAAGCATTGTTGCAGTTCGTTCCTGTTTTATACATTATAAACTATGATGTAACTATGATGCTGACCAAACCATGGTCGTATACAGTATGAAGTAAATGGTAAAAACAGGTGCTCATTCCAAGGAATAAGGTGTCACCACCGAACACCTGTGTGGAAACGCCTGTCTTTCGATCTGTCTGATGGCAGCGGTTCGATCTGCTAGAAATCGATGGCCTGTGTTTTGGGCAATAGAATGGGTGCAATAGAACGCACTTCCACTGCTGAGAAAGGCATGGACCTGGAAGGGGAGTTCTGAAGTTATTTAAAAGCCGATATTTCTGATTTTAATCATACGTAGGTGGTATTGTGAAGTGCTGTTGCCACTCATTACACCCACTGTTTCATGGGAGGCAGACTGCACCCTCTCAGCCCCTCACCTCAGATCAATGCCTTTGATTGGCTCTGGCCACGAGGACAAGAGTGTTGCAGGAGCACAGGGCCATCTGCCAGGGCTGCAGGGGGGAGGGATAAGGGTTTGGTCTTGTGTGGGTGCACCTGTCTCTGGCTCAGAAACCTACAGCAGTACATGGGCCTCGTTTCCAGGTCAGAGGCTTGTCTTCTGTCCTGGATGCTCCTTTCTAAAACCCATTTCAGGAACACAGGTGTCACTAGAAATGAAACACACAGTTGTCTTCGAAGAAAAGCCTCTTTTCACCACAACTATAATGGAGAGGAGTTCAGCCTAGACTTGGGTCACCCTCTCACCTATAGTTTTCATGCACAGAATACTTACCTTCTCCAGGCAGGAAGGAAGATCCCAGCTGTGTAATTTGAGTGCCAAGACACTATTAGTGGGCCCCAGACCCCAGACCCCAGAATCTTGCTCCCAACTCAAGCACAGGGTTCAGATGAAAACTCCTAAACTGACATGCCACACGAATGTGTATTTCAATTTCCAAAAGAAAATTAATTTTGCTTGGAAGGAAAAATTATTTTTTCACATCTGTAATATACCCTTTTTTATTTAAAGAACTGTTTCTGAAGTACTTGTTTGTAGGTAATGAAACATGAGCACACTTTCCGTGTTTTGCAGTTTTATTTTCCCAGAAATGTCTTTGTGTTCGAAGTGCAATGATCAATCAGTACATCTTGATGCATATTTACTATTAACCTCGGATTAATTGTGGCATTCTTGAGCAAGTGATAAGCCGGTCCCCAGAAGCTAAGAGGGTATTATCTAAAACAAGGGTGGAAGTGTGTGGTTTATTTCCCTTATACGACAGTAATCTCTGAAAAGTCTCGGCAGCCTGTGATGTGTGCTGCTGGTCCCAGTAAACTCGGCTCAAAGGGTTTCTCAGCCATGTGTTCACAAGCTGTGTTTGGTCAGTGGTGTCTTTAGGAGGCCAGTTACTTTGAGGCAGGTGCAGAATCTTCCTGTGTC